GTTTATCCTGTTTTGGCCATCAAATTTGCTACTGAACTTTTTGACTTGTTTTTTTGTCATTCGATCGTTAAATCATTAACTTGTTTTTTTGACGTGTCATTTTTTCCACATCATCAATATTTTTCTTATCTTCAACTATCCTCGGAAATTGATGTTCTTAGACATACCAACATTAGATAGTAGAAAACTTGTTTCATCATCTTTTACCACTTTATCAGTTTATATTTTTTTTTAAAATAGTGTAGTTAAACCTAGAAATTCTAACATATTAGGGGTTTGAATACTTTCTTAGATTTTAGGAGTTCAGGGTATTCATTTGAAAAATTCAAACAATGAGAAACATTCTTCTAAAAAGATGAATAACATACAGTAAAACTAGCCTCATCAGATGATTAACAAAGGAGATTAAACTAATAAAGGTTGAATCTTTCGATAAAATTTTATCAGTTTTGAATAGATTTCATGAAAAATCAATCAAGAGAGAATGGAGAGAAATATGGACATTTTATTATCATTCTTGATGTGATTGGTGATCTACAACATGCAATTGAAGGAATTAATAATTTTCTATATGAATAAAACTATTAATAATTTAACAATTTAGTGACTAAAAAATCAATTCAAAAAGTTTAATGGTAAAATGATTTTTTTTTATAATTTAGACCAAAATGAAATGATATTTAAAGTGCATGACTAATGGTGTAGTTTATCCTAATAATAATAATAATATAATAAGACATTGATTATTCTTTTTTGGGTAATCTATGTCAAATACCACTCATCTTTAAGCTCGGACTTGAAAATGCCATCGACGTTTCAATTTTGCCAATTTTAGCACAGACGTTTATGTTTCACTGCAATTTTGCCACTCCACCGTTAATTCGTTAATGGGATGATGACATGACATCCTTTTTACGTGACGGCGATGACATGACACCCTCATCAAAACAACGTCATTTTGGCATGACCGTTTTGATGCTTAAAAAGCTCAAAACGATATCGTTTTGTTGATGAAAAATATGTTTTTCATGAGATTCGAATAGTAGACCTTTAGAATCCAAATCAAAATAACCAACCACCAAGCTAACTTAAGAACTTGGTATAACCTTAACAAAACTATTATAAATGGCATCACTACCACTGTCACCCTCATTATCTTCCTTATTATCTTCATGTGAAAATATTCAAACAAACAAACAAACCATAATCCTTCTTCATTTCATTCCTAGAACGTTTCCATGACATCCGTGTACATACCGGGCTCAGAGTTCCTATACTCCCCGGGTTGGTGCTGATGATGCTCGACTGAAGTCGACGATGAATACATTGTCATCCTTGCGGGTATTGGAAAGTTCTTTACCTTATCCATCTTCCTCGTATTCTCCGGATGACTATCCAAGCTATCTGAATTTTGATTCCAGTATTTTCCTTTGAGTTTAAACGGGTGATGATTTGTTTATGGTTTGTTCCCTAAGCTCTCAGAGTTGAATAAAAGCGGGCGTCTTCGGTTCGTCCGGTGAGAGCACTGAAGAAACTCAAGCCATTAGGCCATTTGATGTCATTTTCATACTCAACCATCATGTCTTCCATTCAGGTTTTGGATTAACGTGGCAGTAGGAACATGTGGGTTTCGTCTTTGGGTTGCTGAAATCCAAGTCTAACTGGGTTCTGAAAATTAGGCGAAGCAAGCGTCGGGTTAGTTGCAACATAAGTGTGCAATTAGACTACTTCCATCTGTCTCCTTCTGTCTATCCCGATACTACTATTATACAAATCATTGTAAACATAAGTGTGCAATTAGACTTAGGGACTGTTTGTTTACTTCAGAATGATTAAGCGTTGAATGATTCAAATGATGAATGATTCAGAGGCTCAGTATGAATTAGCTCTGAACGTGACATACTGTTTGATAATGGTTCTGAATCATTCAAAATGTACTTCTGTGCTGAATCATTCAACACCTGTTTTACTGAATCAGTCAGCATTGAATCATTCAGAGGTGAGAAATAAACAGTCTAAATGCTAAACGATTCAACATTCAGCGCTAAATGGTTCCATTCAGAGCCAAACAAACATCCCCTTAGACAAATAATTAACCTTGAACAAGTCTACTTACAATAAAAATTTTGTTGATTATCACTAATACAAACCCTAAGCCAACGAGTGTTAACGTAACTGGTTAGGATTCAGGAATTTGAGCTTATAAGGTCAAGTTCGAATTCTATCATCGTCACTTTTGGTGGACAATCTATAAATTTCTATACAAATCTCAATTGTGTATTAGGTATACCTTGGTCATAGACTGATGAGCTACCCCTCACCTAAACTATTTGTAACCAAAACCCTAAACCCTAAAATTTCATTCCCTTTATCTCGTTTCGATATTTTTTTCTTGTTCTTCTTACTCCGACGTTAACAATAGTACCAGTTTGAACTAATCGTCGTTTAACGGTATTGCCATTGAAAACCAACATAGATCTAAACATTTAATTAGATCTTCAACATGATGGGCAAGTTTTAATGAATAATTAAAGTCTATTATAGAAAGAGAGGAGATGCAATTAGGGATGGACCGAGAGAGGTGGGTGAGATATTTGTCTCTTTGAAAATTTAAAATTATTATATATTTTAGATATTTATATATATATTTTTATTGAAAATATGTTTTCATCTCTTAAAATTTTATAAGTTCAAATTCGTCCCTTGAAATTTTATAAATTCAACCTCGCACTTCTTATTACAAAACCATGCGATCGTTCCGACACGCAACCAAATGAAGTCAAGTTTAATCAAAATAGAAGATAAATTTGGTAGATGGAAACAATCGATGAAGGTGAGATTGGGGGTAATTGTACTTTGTGGTTTGGAGTGAGAGGTTGGTTGATGAAGGTGATATGGCCTAAGAAAAGGACGTTGAGTCCAACTCTTTAGGGCACTGCCTGTGGGTCAAGCAACTCACTGTGGGATCCTATCCTTCATAATATCATCAACAAACAATTGCATGTGCACTTCTTCCCATCCTTGCTATTTTATCTAAAGGTAAAGTACACAATAGTCACTTGACTATAAGACACTACTTTGTTGAGTTTCACAACTGTTAAAAGTTACAAAATGGTCTTTCGACTATATGACTTTGTTTTTTAGTCCCTTTAATATTAAAAGTTACAAAATGGTCACCTGATTATTCATTATGTCTTAAACTCATAATTTTTCGTTAAAAATTTAACGACATTCTGAGTTGAATGATAACCCGTTGACTGGGACTCAAATTGGGATATGATAAAATTTGATATCAGAATCTCAAACGACTATCATATCTCAGTCAACATGTTAACATTCAACTCACAGGGCCATCAATTTTTAACGAAAAATGGCGAGTTTGGAATATAATGAACAATCGAGTGACCATTTTGTAACTTTTAATAGTCGATAGACTCAACAAAGCAACATCCTATAGTCGGGGAATCATTTTATAACTTTTAATAGTCGGGGACTCGACAAAGTAATACCCTATAGTTGGGGGACTATTTGTGTATTTTACCCTTTATCTAATTAGGATAATCTTATTTTGAATAGACTGTTTTAATGTTGATTCTTCATTAAACTTAAATTTAGGTTTTTGAGAGTATTAGATAGGTCTATTGTTTAAGAAGTAGCAGTCCTTTAAAATTTTGATTCTCAAGGTGAGGGATGAATATAGGTTGAATTGGGTCAGATTTTTTGTCGATCCAATTTAAATATTATACTTCATTCACTAGTCCCTTGGTCCAATTTGTATATAGAGAGGCTCCACCCGAGCTAAACTTGGCTCGATTTTTTAGGTAAAAAAATCTACATCCAACCTAACTCGACACACACATGTGTATATATAAATTTATTTTATTTAATAAAATAAAGACATAATTGAAAAATATAAAAAGAAGAATATTATTACAATTATCTCTAAATATATAAATGTTAAATCTTGAGTTAGATATTTTTTAACCTAAATCAGGGACTTAATTACTAAGGAAGTGGAAGGGGTTGTGCCTCCCAACCCATCATTTTTTTAAGATTCAACTTATATATAAAATTTAAATATTTATGGAATAATTATGAAATTGTCCCCCTAACTTTAGAAAAGTTATACTTTGTCCCCTCAAGATGAAATCCTGGCTCCGTCCCTGACCTAAACCCAATCTTATTCTAAAAAAACTTGACCCACTCGACACAAACTGATTTTTATATATATAAAAACAACCCAATCTTATAAGATCATATCAAGTTAAAACTCATCAAATTTGATTCCTATACCTATCTCTAATCATGCTTATGTTATTGTTTTTTTTCCTATTATTATGATTGATGTTCCGAGTACTATATGTTTGTGTGTGTTAGTGTACATTATTCGAGGTGTACTCGAGTCTGGGTGACATAGTATGTATGTATGTATGTGTGTATGTGTATATGTACATTTCATACCCTTGTATTATTTTCGACCGGGTTATGGATCGAGCTCACTTACCGTAGACCCGACACCTTTGGGTACTCTGACAATGGTTGTGGTTAGAGCAGAGTTAACTATGGTACACAAGAACATGGTGTAGTTAAGAGCAATGCCCATCACCAACGAAAGAACTAGGATGAACAAAAACCAGAAAGAATTGCTATACAAACAAGGATAATAAATTGATGTTAGGGATCGATTTTACGAAGCAATTTACGATGTACCGACTCATATAGCTTATAGCAGCGGATTAACTAAGACAATAACTGATTTTATCCGGTTATATGGTACCGGTCGAAGTAATTTGTTTGATATCCAGGGTGGTCTAAGCTTTATAGAACATAAATCGGTGAAAGGACTATAGGAAGCTTTGCATGAAGAACTGCCCTATTTGAACACTCATGTACTATCTCGTTTCAGTCTCGTGCCTTAACCGACTCTAATCGAATCTAAACTGCTCTAATCGAATCTAAACTGCAGCTATCAAAGACGGTCTTGTGGCCACTAGATCCGATCATGTCGAACACAACTGCAAATGAATTACATATAAAAGAATATGTGCAAAGTCCTGACCTTTGCAAGTAACAATACCAAGGAATTTGGGAACTCTCCGTTCGCTAAGATGAGAAATAGCAAAAACGGAAGAGAAAGGAAACTGTTGTAGAACATTATCTTGATCGATGAGAGCCCTTTCTCCGTACCGGACTTCTCCACCAACACGAGGTACATGGTCTGTATTTTGGATTGAACTCAGGCATAATGCAGGGCATTAATGATGAACCTCAACAAGCAATGCACATTCATAACCAGCTATCAGTAAACATGCAAAAGAAGATCTGGAAAAACACAGAAGTTAGGGCCATGGTGTATTCGAGTAGATCGGGGGGAAAATCTCTGATGGAAGCTACAATAACTCCCATGGCAGTCAAAACTACTGAAAGGATCACCTGAAAATTAACAGAGAATCAAAGAACAACAGAGAATCTTCAAGACCAAGTTCAAGAAATTCGATACGATAAACATTCCATTAAGCGTTACAAACACCATAGACGAAAAGACACTAGCCATAAGCAAGGGAGATAAAGTTCGGGGCTCGGAAATAATAGGAAACAAAAGATTCAAGGTCAAAAGGGAATGATAAACCTCAAATGATCTTAGCTATAAATATGAAACAACAGGGTTATGAATTCATTCACAATGAAACAAATCAACACAAGGACATGCACAATTGTATCAACATGATAAAGAGTAACCGAATCGACATGAACATCAACCAATTCATCAACAATCATTTCAGGATACACAGGCTCAACAGTCAAGTACTCAAGGAACAATGTGCCACTCGACACTAGTCACAAGCAAGGACGATGAAATCCGGGGCTCGGGAACAACAAGAAACAGATGATTCAAGGTCAAAAGGGAATGATTTGAGACATGAATATGAAACAATAGAGTTATGAATGCATTCACAATGAAACAAATCATCACAAGGACATGTAAAATTGTATCAACATGATAAAGAGTTGTAATACCCTAATTTTGTTGGGGCCATTTGAATCCATTTAAAGATGACCGATAATTAATTTGAAGGTATTGGTGCTCGATGAAGAATTAATTCAAATGATGAAGTGGGAAATTTTACGCTTGGAAGCTTTAGGTGCTCAATTGGAATTGGAATTGTATATGGAAATCAGGACACAAATTGAAATCCAAAATCCAAAATTAAGTGTCTAGAGTCCATTTACAAGCCCAAATTAGAGTAAAAATAATTACAACCCAATCTAGAGCCCAACAGCAACTCAAGACAAGCCCAAGACCCGAGCACCCCACGTGAAGGCCATGTTCTGCTCCACAACACCCGATCACTAGCTATGCAAATCTCTCCCACGTGATGCACCACAATTGATCAGCATCCATGACTCCCACGTGGACCACAACCGAGCAGCTAGGTTCCCCATTCCCACTAGCACCACAGTCGAGCAACCCGTGCCCATACTGCCTATCACCCACAACCAAGTACTTCACGTGAAACTTCATAACAGTCACCGGTGCCCTGTAAACAAATATTTTTTTAGCAACATCCAAGGTTTAGGGCAGTGGGAGGAATCAATAAAGTTATCAGTCATCAAAAACACAAAAGATCCAGGGGACGAAAAGGAGAATTTGGGGGGAGATTTCTCATTGGATTTTAGAGTGGAAAGCAATGTAAAAAAACACAGAGAGGTTCACGGGCAGCAGAGGATACCCGGGCAGAGAAAATAGGAAATAAAAAACAAGGGGAACCATCACCAAAATACCAACGCAAAAGGGGAGGGGTTTTCGTGGTAATCAAAGGGAGTCATCCCTTTCGTTCTTGTAATCACAGATTCCCTGAAGAATAAATAAAAAGAGAGCAATTTATCCTTTGTCTTACATCTATTTTTTAACAAAAATAACAAAAAAACCGAGAGCATTGATTGAACAATTCAGAGAAAAGGAAATCATCCGAGAGGTATCTTTCTATTGCGTTTTCAATAGAGATTCGTGGTTGGTGTGTGTTTTTGGTCTCGAAGAAAACTAGGAAAATAAAAAGAGGGGTCGAAGTTACCTTAGAGTTAGCCTATCTCGGAGCTATAGATTGGTCTATCAGAGGCCCTTATGGTCTTGCATGTTGGGGTCAAGGGTCGTTTCATGGTTTAAGGGTCGATTTAGTGAGCCTTAGTTTTGGCTTGGTGGCCATAGGTGGAGTTTGGGGCGGTTGATTCTCATCTCGACGAGGTGAGTTTTGGTCATGGTCGTCGGGGCCTTGGTAGAGAGTGAGGATAGTTAGAAAGATGAGACTGAGTTAGCTTTGGGCTTTGGTGGTCTTCGTCGTCTGGAGGTCGGAGCGAAAGAGGCGTCGATGTACGGCGACCGTGGCTCTTTTGGGTTTGGGTTTCTCGGCGGCGTTCGTGTCGAATGAGAGAACCATAAAAGAGAGTAGATAGGGGATGAGAGGAACGACGCCTTGGTAAGGGAGAAGAAGAGGGATTGCAATTGAGTGGGAGAGAGGAATGTAAACAAATGAAATTAGGGTTCTATTTTCACCCTAGATTTAAATATATAAGATTACTAAAACGACGTAGTTTGAGCAATTCAGGGCATCCGTTTTGGGCGTTTGGTTTGTTCATTTTTTGAGTCATTTAGTTTTTACTTGTAACTCATTTTAGTCCTAAAATCATTTTTTAGGTTCTAATTTGGTCTTTATATTTTACGCAAGTTTAATTTCAGCCCCAAGTGTTAGTATATTTACTCTTTTCTGTTTTAAACATTTGACCCTCGTGTTCTGCATGTTGCATTTTAGTCCTGAGTGGTAATATACTTAGTTGTTGTTTTCTTAGACTTTTGACTTTCATTGTTTTGCATGCTACATTTTAGTCCTTAAATCAATGTCTTCGTCTTCCTAATTTCACTCCCATATTTTATGCGCATTTTAACTTAGTCCTAAAATCAATGTTTTTGTATTTCTGATTTTGTTTCCATGTTTTATGCGTATTTAATTTCAGTCCCAAATGTTGTGTCATTTAGTTCTTATTATTTTAGACATTTTGCTTTTATGTTTTTGCATGTTTCGTTTTAATCCCTAGGCTGAATTTTTCATGTTAGTAATTTTGTTCCTTTATTTTATGCGAATTTAATTTCAGTCCTACGTATGTTTAGGAATTTATTTCAATTTCAGTACATGGAATGTGATGGTTTATATCTTAGAACTCAATTTGTGCTCAATTTATGATTTTAACTTTAGAGTTTATTGCTCATTCCTCTTCAGTTCTTATGTTTGTTTGTCATGACATTTTTATTTATTTGTGTGTTCATCTAGATATAAGTTTTCTTAGAATCATTAATTTTTGTTGATATCCTCACGTGCATAACTCGACTCTTATTACATAATTTGATTAAGGATAATATCCTTTTAATTTTAACTTGTCAGAATGGCTTTTCTTAACTCACTAGAAAGTTATTTTAGACGATTTTAAATTACAAGTATATCCCAACAGTGTCAGCAAAAGAATTGATTCATTGCCGTAAAATTTGGGAACGAAAGAAAAGGAAATATTCGACTATTTAAATTTTTTGAGAACAGGTCGTTAGAACTTACCTAAAGATCTGGTCTCGATCTTTTTAAATAATCGAATATCCCTTATCTTTCTAATGGTTTGGTAATTTTAATTTAACCTATTTTGTTGCTTTTGAATGTCATAGAATTTGCTTTTTCGTTGTTTTAAGGGATCATAAATCAAATTAAACTCGAACTTGTGAAATATGTTGCAAAGACATTAATTAATTGACTAGGTACCGATTTAGGGCGCTGTGGGGATGCTAATCCTTCCCCACACGTAACCGACTCCCGAACTCGAATTTTGGTAACGTAGACCGCAAATTTGTCGTTTTAATTAAAATTAATTTTTTTTATAAAATGACAACGGTTTTGGGTGCCCAATCACACCCCAATCAAAGATTGGTGGCGACTCCTCGAACCATATGTTTTTATCGTAAAGGAATTTCCAAATTTTCGAAACGAGAGATTTTCTAAAATCGCATTGTTTTTAATTAAAAATCAATCCTAATTAAAAATGACGCGGTTTTCAAAATCTCGCTCCCCACTCATAAAAATCGTTTCGACAGCTTGGCGACTCCACTGGGGATTTTTTTTAGAGAGTCAGGCCGATAGTCGATTAATTAATTGTCTTTGCAAACGAAATTTATAAGTTCGTTTTAATTTGATTTTTGATCCCTTGTTTGTTTTAAATTTCTTGTTTGCCTTTAATTGGTTATTTGGTTAACGAATAAATAGTTGTACTAACGTGTGATTTGCGTGTTTTAGTTTTCTGACTTTAGTTTGTTGATTTCTTTAGATCGAGGCAAAGGATTATGGGTTTCCCCTTACTGTCGCTATAACCTTTCGATATTTAGAGCCTTCTTACTGTGCTCTGTCCCGTTAGGTAGGGATGAATGCTACGCTTATGTGAGAAAAATTAATTTTCTCCGCATGGGCTTTAGCAAATAACCTCTGGGGTACATGCCTTATGTTTACGAGTGAAACATTGAGTTTCCTTGCATGGACATAGGGAAATGTATCCTCTCGAATTGAACTTGATTCGTTTTAAGCCTATAATGGGTGAGGATCAAGGGTCTGGCAAGCTAAAGGGAGCACCAGTAAAGAATAATTCGAGGACCCTTTTAATGATACCAAAACTCTGCTCGTTTTATGCTAAATCTCTGTTCGCAGACACAAAGGGGAAACTCATTCTAACCTTTTCCTCGAATTTATTTTTGCAATAAGTATGAGAACTAGAAAAGCATGCAGTTAGGTTTTTAATTTTCGCACAAAGCATGTGAATTAGATACCATGCGGTTAGGATTTTTTGTGAATGACAAAGCATGTGGGTAGATATCATGTTGGGTAGGATCTACTAAAGTATGATTGGGTAGCCAGCATGTAAGTGTAGGTTTTATTTTATGTTTACGGTATCCACTATCTTGTTGTTTATCTTATGTGTACTAACCCTTTTTTGTTCTATGTCTATTTTATTGATTTTATTGCATATGCATCCTCATGTCATCGAGAGGTGTTAATTCGCAAGTGATTGACTAACAAGAAGGCTGACCATATTGAGGTAAGAAATTCTCCACCATGTAGTCAAAACCGGGAGATCCAGAGATGTTCAAACGATCTATGAAGAAGGGCACCCGATGAATGAAGAGATATGAAGTTGATTGAAGAATTCCTTTAAAACTGCAAAGGCCAAGAAGTTGAGTCAAGGGATAGATACAGTCATACCAAGGACAAAAAGACCGTTCATAAAGACGAGAAGACCGTTCACCAAGGACATGAAGACCATTCATAAAGACATGAAGACCATTCATAAAGACATGAAGACCCTTCATAAAGACATGAAGACCACTTTGCATTTGGGGTAAGAATGGA